GACTATTTAGATTTTTATGTAAAATTGTGATTATAAGAAAAGCCATGTGGTTTCTTAGCTTATGCATGGTCTGATTGCTCTGCCGAACTTTTTAGTAGATAGAAGAGGAGCAAATGTGTAATTATAAACCAGATATTGCTGAAGTAGTAGGTCCCTGAGTTACCATGTTAACAAATAAATGTTGTTCTTTGTGTGCGTAAAATGTACTTTTAGCTTTTATCACATATTAAAAATAATTAGGCAGTAGTTTGGTGTTTGCTGTTATTCTTCCACTTTCCACTGATATAAACTTTTTTTTTTCAGTGGCTGGTGAAACGTGCAATAGAAACAAGGGAAGAAATGGGAGACTATATCCGTTCTTACTCCATATCACAGTTTCAAAAAACTCATAGGCTGCCAGAGGTAAGATCAAGCCAGTTCTTTTTTTGTAATACTGTGTCAAATATTCGGGTGCAGTACCTGCTTCACAGCTCTGAAATCAGCACAGAAACAGCCAGCATACTGTGGAGAAGCTCATCTAGCTAGATGGGAATTGATATGCTGTTAATGCTCTGTAGCTTGGGTCTTGGTTTACAGTGCTCAAAATCAGGACTTGTCTCCCTATGTCCAAAACCCAACATTTGTTTTTGAAAACTGGATTCCTAAAAAACTTCATTCAAAAGCTGAACTTGGGGAAAGACAGGGGGACAGGATTGAGTATAAAGTAAATATTGTCTTGGCATTTGTCTTGGCAAAATATGATTGCCAGAGGAGTGAGAAGTGCAGTTTTATCCACAAGTGTAGTGGTAAGAGTACTTCTGCACTGCCTGAGACACCTTGATCACATGCCTTCTCCTCTTGACAATGGTCAGATGATATCCCCTTTGAATTTACATGCTTAGAACAGTGTTGTGATCTTCTTTTCTTCTAGTCTGCAGTAATGATACAAAGTTTCCTTGGTACAGGAGGAGAGCAGGAAAGAGCCTGGATTTGTGCCTATAGTGCACAGCCATCAGTTCTGTTAATGTGTCTCCCAAGGCATTTCCATATTCAAAACCCAGAATCCAAGTTTTGTTTCTAATTCAGAAACAGCATTAAAAGTAGATGTCCCTAGTACTGGGAAAAAACAGATGGATTTTATTAGCTTGGGGTGATTTGCATTTTATTTGGGGCTTTTTGATTGTTTTTAATGCCTAGAAACTAAAATAACGGTAGGGGAAACTTCTCTTTTCTCCATTAAACCCATCCCAACTTTATTTTTTCATAGCATAGTAATGATGGGAGGTCCTGGTAGTGGACTGGGGTTGCATTTGTGTCCGGTACTGTATAAGCAGAGAGGAGAGAGACTGCTGCTCTGGATACAGTTATAAAGACCTACCTACCTATCTGATGAGAGAAGCAATTACTTGTCTGTGTTACAGGAAATCACTAATGTTTTCACCCAATAATTGGGCACATCAATTGGAAACTACTTGACAACTTTGTTTGCTAAACTCATTACAATGGTTGAGATTCAATCCCCATTCCTGGTATTTTTAATCACCTCCATTAATGTCTTGCAGGATGATGAATTTATGCAAAGAAAAGAGAAGGCTATCAAAACTGTTACTGATATCTTTGTAAGTATGTTAGATCTATCATCAAGAAGCAAGTGGTTTTAGTAATGAAGTAGTGGTGGTTAATTCTGTTTAATGCAGCCAGTCCTGGGTGTTCTCAAGAGAAGGTCCCAATGAGGTTGTATGCATTCTTAGAACAGGTCTCAAATGCCAACATGCCAGATTGCACACCTAAAAGGTTTTCACTGTGTGAGCAGATAAACCATGGCAACTGCCTGCACAGAAGTGTGGAAGTCCCACAGTATCAAACAAAAGGCACAAGTTAACTTACAGGCTTGACAAAGTCACAGGCCAGCATTTGAGAAGGGTTGAGAACTGTGGGTATGCTTTGAATGGGACCCTCCCAAGGCTCTGTGAAACCCCAGTCACTGCTGTTTCAGGGAGCTCTAGCCAGATACTCTAAACTCTTCATCTGTGGATAGAGGTGTTAAGTGCCAGTATGATGAGCTGTATCATAGCTTTCCTAATGAACCAGGCAAATCACCTTACTATTTTGTCCTGTTTTGGAGGGACTTGTTTTTCTATATTAATGACCTGAGTGCTGTTGAACTTACATATGTGGTTCAGTTGCAGTATACATTTATAGACACACATTGCTGTGAAAGTCTCCAGGTGATGACCAAAGCAAATCCCCTGTTAATCTGTTTGAATAATTACTCTTGCTTTGAAAATTTCAATTGCAGTCTCTAACCATTGTTCCCAATGGCTTGGTTGGGTTTTTTAATTACTACCAGACTTAAAATGAGTCTTTTACTTCAGCCAGTAGTACTTTCCAGTGATGTTTTGCTTTTTACAAGTTAGCTCCCCTTGTAAATGGGTATTGCTGTTTTGTTTGTGCACCTGTATTGCCCTTTAAATAGAGAGAGGATGCAAACCCATGTAAGAAAGCAAATTCCAAATGTGAGTTGTATCAAGTAGCATGTGAAATTCATTGGGCTCCTGCTTATTTACAGTTTTCAGAATAACTGTTGTAATTTTGCAAGTGTGTCCATTTTCTGCCTGCATTGTCTTTAAATAGCAGTAAAGTATCTGTTCTCAAGTGGCTAAAACCAACATTGTCACTGAAGAGACAGAAAGAAGGTAATCACAGTGCTGTTACAAGACACCAGTACCTAGAATTTTTAGTGTCATTTTAAAAAAATACAGATGTTTAATTAACAGTGATGAAGGGATGCCTTTGATTGCTGAGGAACAGAGGTGGTTTTAAGGCTTGGTTTTTAAGTTCTAGTAATTCAGGGATTTAAGTTTATTCTGTTTCATTAATGCATTTATTTGGGAGAACTTGTCTGAAAAGAAAGAATGCATTCTACTTTCAGTGTGCAGTTACCTAGTAAATGTCAGATCCATTCAAGTGGTTTGTCCAAAGTCCCATGGTGCTTGGTTGGCTTTCACTTGCATATCTACCTTCATGTTTTCTGAAATATGCTTTATCAAGCTCAAGGAGAATGACATGGCAAAGCTGAAGCAGGTATATGTATTTCTTGATCAGGTGTTTCTTTGCTATTTGGAGGCCACTGGATTGGTTTGTACTTTCCCAGTACATTAGGGCTATTACTTTTAAATTCAGAGGTTGCAGTCCTGGAATCACATGCATATGTCTAGTTCTGCAGCAAAGGGTATAGTCCCATATTCAGGGTCCAAGAATGAAGCAGCTGATCGGAAGCAAGAAAAACAAGGTAGAGTCTTAAAAGTTTGATAGCATTTGCACCCTTCAGCTAGTCTGTCTAAATAGGTCTGAATAGCTCTCCTGCCTTTGAGCATGCTGGCTGTTCTCCCCAGTCTGGATCTATCTGCAGGGCTGATAAAAGTGTATTCTGTCTTCTCTGGATCACATGTTTCTAGGTTTTGAGTGCATCTTCGTGGTAGATGAAGTTTTGATGTTTGTTCAGTCACTGCTCAGGGTATCATTGGACAAACACCTCTCCTGTAAATGTGTGAGCTGTGTCAGGATATCTTCTACATGCAGCACCTGATCTTAATGGAGGATTACTTCATGAGATCTCTTAAGGCATCAAGGCATGAATGCAGTCAAGAAGAACGTGCAGAGTGAATTTTCAAGGGAGAAAGTGCACAAGCTTTCCTATCTACCCATAGGAACTGGAAGAAGGAGAAGGTGGCTATGGGATGAACTCTTTTGCAGGTCACCTTTAAGTCATGGTGCATTGGAATTGGAAGAGAAATCCACTTTCCTGGAAGACAACCAGGAAGTGTGAAAGATTAGTCTGTCTGAATTATCTATTATAACTCTAGTCTGAGGACCTACCCTTCTCCTCTCAAGGGGACAATACAATGAGATTTACTGAGATTTATGGTCACAATCAGGCCTAAAGGTTAGAAAAGGGAATATTAAATATCAGTAATGGCTATTGGAATAAGAACTACTGCTTCTGAAAGGTGACTGTCTAGTGAACTGAGATTACCTTGCAGTGGTTTTGTTCAATTACTCAATTATCTGATGCCAAGACTAATGTTTATGGTATGATGCCTACACTTTATAGCACAGGTATAATATAGAATGCCATCATAAAATCTATAATTTTGTGACTTAAATTGTTTTTCTGTTCATATGAAAGTACGTTTTGTGGGAAGTTTTTGATCATAAAATCTTTTTGATCTGACAGTCAAATATATAGCAAGATTTAATATCTGGAAACAAAGATGACAGAAATTGAGATTAGAAATGAAGTAAAAATAGCAAAGGGTAACTGACAAATCCAGGAGAAACTTGCCAAGGAATATTGTCTAGTTTCACTTGTTGGAAGTTTCTACCTTGGCTTTATATGTCTATGAAAAAGATTGAAAGGTATTTTGGCAATGTTATGGTGCAGGAATTGCTTGTTGAAAATAATAGTTTGTGTTGTACAAAAAGTCAGACCAAGCAAAAAATATTTTTCCTCCTTAATTTTCTTTTAAAGTCTTTGCAACTTCTTGCATTGAATCTTTTGTTCCTTGTGAATAGGATTTTTTTGAAGTCAAAAGTGTATGTGGAAAGCCCAAACTTTGGTTTCAATTTTTGTTTTTGTAATGTATTTGTTCTAAGCATTCTGAGCCTGGCCTTCAAAGGTTTTAAAATGATGCATGTAGAACAGACTAGAAGAGAGGGGTGTGTTCCTCTTTGATGGCTGCTTATTTATTTCATTCCAGAAAAAAAAGAGAGGAGAAAATGTCATCTAATTGATTGAGGGGGACATTTTTTCAAAAAATACCAACTGGAATGAAAAGAAAGTATCTTTGAGGTCAGAGGCTCTTGCATATTTTTTTGTCCAGCTAGCAGGATAGCACTAAATACTAGACTTCCATTAACTTCAAAATCTTTATTCCAGCAACTGAAATGTTGCATTACATGCTCACTGCCCTGCAGATTGCTTTCACCAAACAAACAGCAAAAATAATTCCAGTCTAAGTAATGTTGTCTTGCTTCCAATTTCTGATCTAAGGAAAGCAGAGGATCTCATGATTATTTTTTGTTTGGGTTTTGGTTTTGTTCGTGTTTGAGGTAGGATAATTTTTCAAATGCTGTCACATAGACTTTTATAGTGGCATAGTTGATCTGTGTGGAAGGAGGAAGGTACTTTAATATAGGCCCTATTATAATGCTGCAACACTTCTCTCTGTGTTAGCAGTCAGGATAGGGGCTCTGTCCTTTTGTTTCCATTTTGTTTTTAAAATGGGTGTAGCTCTATCAGCACAAAATAGTACTTGTGAGTCCATGTTTTATTTGATAGGCTGCTGTCCAGCTGTAGGATCACATTAGGATAGCATGAGATAATGATTTTAGTACCAAACTTCTTAAGATATTTTTGTTCCTCAAATGGCAATAAAATTTGCTTTAATTCCATTGTAACCTGTGATCATTAAGTAGATAACAATTACATCTAATAACCTAATAAGAGACTAAAAATAGAATTTGCTTGCAACAGAGGTAGCATTTCTAGACACTGGCATTATCAGCTAAATCCTAGGGCTTTTTTTTTAATAGACATTGTGTTATTTTTGAATCTTCTTTCAAACATGTTGGAGAAGATAGCTGAAGAAATTATGTTTGTTGTTAGATATCCATTTATAACTTTTTTAAAACCTGAAAAGACAGGTCCTATAGCAAATTGCTTAGAAGTAAATTCAGTAAGATTTTATTGTGTAATTCCAAAAGGAGAAGGTGAAGGATGTTCATTTGTTTAAGTATATAGAGTTGGAAAGCAAACAGTGGTATGTATCACTATAGAAAACAATTCATCATTATTTGAGAATGGCCTTTTACAAGCTCTGAATTCATTCACTGTCTTACAGGAGATTTACAAACCCCAGAGAAAATATAAACGTCAGAAGGGAGCTGAAGAGCTGCTGGATGAGGAGTCAAAGGTTCATGCTACACTCCTGGAATATGGCAGGTGAAGGGCTTCATTTAATTGTGTGTTTTGTATTGTGTGTATTTAGGAGCATTCCATATAAAGTTTGGATTGCAGTTTTTTTTTCTACTACTTGAGGATCAAACTGTTTCAGATCCATTCCTGTTTGGTTTCAGATTTTGTTTACCCTCTAAATTCTCTGGGGACTGGGTAGTCCTCATATGTGTGAGCAAGAGTTTTGTACAAGGAGAACCCAATTTCTGACTTTATGCTGCTAGTAGGGTATGTTTATTTGACAAACTTCTTCCTTGCTGCATAAAAATGGCTTAAACTCATGATGCTTCTCAGCAGTGTTGGTCAATCAATATTGCCTCTTTGCAAGCAATCCCCAGAAAATGGGAGGGAAAAAGGAGCTGAAGTTGTTACTGCTTCTTTTTGGAGTTCCAATGCGACTGCTACATCGAGAGGCTGAATCACAGTTTAGTGCTTTGTCTTCTTAATTTCTGCAAACTTCCACACAGAGATGAAGTTACCAAGGTTTGCACTTACCCATTACCTTTGGAAGTCCTCCTGGTTTACTGAGAGCTCTCCAAATATAAATGTCCTGTTACTCAGCAGAACTCCTCTGGCATTGCCTAAAGTTCATATACAAAGGGTTAACTGTAGAACTTTTCCCTTTCTTCCCCCACCAGTGAAGTTCAGTGCAGTTATCTGAAGTATAGCAAGCTGATTTAAAAGCCTAAGATGACTGGCTGCTCTAATGAGCTTAATCTACTCACAACACAGAGAGCTACAAGGAAATACATAAATTTATCTAGAAGAGGCATTCTGTGTTAAATCTTATAACACAACAGTCACAAATTCTGTGGTCTTGAATGAGTCTTAATGTTTTTCTAATGCTAGTAAGGAGTTAGTCTTGATTTACCTTGTCCAATTCCTCTTCTTCCAATGAAAATTCAATTTGTAAGTTGGTGACAGTGTCAGGGATTATTCTGCTTGGCATGTGAATTTCCTCCATGACTCTTCAGTGGAAGACATGCATGCTGAAATTTAAAAATTTAGATCAGGTCATTGATACCTCATCAGTGCTCACAACGGGAGTCTAAAGAGCTGCTACAGAAAAATGAAGTCCAGGTACACTCCTGTCTGCAGTTTCATTTACTGTGTCAGTGTAGTTACTACATTTTGATGCCAATAGGCATCTTTTAATAAACAGAGTATAAAATCATTTATGCTGTTTAAGGGCATTTTTGTGTATGATTTTTCCAGAGTGAGTTTTTTTTTCTTTTTTAAAAAAAAAAATCAAAACTTGAAATCACTATACAGCTTGAAAACTGAAATTATTTTTATTTTTTGGTAGATTCAAGAATAGAGTTGAATGTTTTTAGAATTCAAACAGTTAAAGAGAACCTTTCATTCTTTTACTGCATGTAGATGTCAGTCATTGAAAACAGTGAGTGAAGGACTTTTTTTTTCCCCCCCCTTTTATATGCCCCCTGGTTATCATGCAAACGACTCCTTTCAGAGCACACTAGTCATAGAAGTTAATAGTCCAGCAAATAGCATAGGGTCTGGCAGTGTTGTGATGCTAAATGCCCAGTTTTATTCAGGTACAGCCAGAGATAGTCCCATGTTCTAAATTAGTTTTTGATCTTGTGGGCTCCAGTTTAGAGATTATCACATATGAGCTTCAATGTGGTAGGCCAGAGTCTGGCTTGAGAGTGCAGTGATCCTGGTGAACAAGATCTTTCCACAGTTCATAGTTTGCTGAAAACTGACTGATAATAAGCAAATATGTGGCACTGAAAGGCCTTAGCTAAAACAAAGTACAAAGTCAGTTCCTCTAATGGATGTCTGCCAGGCTTAACATTTCATATCTGGGTTCTTTGTTGATGTAACTGATGGTTGATGGTGCAGTTTGTTACTTGGATGCAGTTATCTCCATGAACATCGGTTCCTCCAAAAAGCAAGAATAGACAAACAACAGTGGCAATAGCACTTACCAATGCTGCTGTAGTAACACAACTTCATGCACATTCTATGGAAGAGTAGTGCTCTGCCATGTCCTGTGCACTGCTAAGGTTTAAAATGCAGAGAGAACTTAATGCTGGGGGACTCCTGAAAACTTGGAGTCATGCTGTAATAAAATAGGACTGAATTTACTCATTAAGTATGAGTGGTGTATAAATGGAGAGCTGCTGACAGCTGATACTGCTACTGAGGATCACTTAACTTTTAGCTGTAAAAGGCTTATAAATAGTCCTGCTTCTGCAGTAGTTAAGGAATTAAGAAGTTGTAGCTAAGGTAGTCAATTGTGAACAGAAGTGATGTTGCTTGACCATCTGTGTATACATGCTGGGTTTAGTGCTTTGTAATACTGAAGATGATTCCTTGCTCATATATAAAATTTGTTTCTACCTTTTTTTATTTAAGATAATATTTACAAAATAATTACTTAATTCACAAGTCAGTTTTTCCTCTTCCTCAAAAAAAAAAGTTAAAAAGTGTATTTAAAATTATGAACCCCATGCTTCAGAAAGCAGTGGCAAATTCAGCAAAGCACACAAGCATGAATGGTTTTGTGGGAATAGAGATTGCACTGACAATTTCCTGGGGCCTTTCCAGAATTCAGTAGTATGTAGCTAATAGCTCAGGAATAACTTCCAAATGGAAAGAGAGTATTGCTTTTTCCTTTCCTGAGCTTTACATGATGGTATTTTATCAACAGTCTAGATTTGGAAGTCATATTTAAAGGAGTAAAAAATTAGTCTGTAAATATGCTTCAGTATCTGCTTATTTAGTTTTTGAAGCACTCCAAAACTAACCTGAATCTGGCTGGTGGTTTTGTTAAACAATTGACTTTTTTTTGTGCGTTTCTTATGTTGAAAACTGATAAAAACAACGTGTTTCTGAAAGTTGTAAACAACAACATGTTTCTTTCATGTTACTGTTGTTCTTTTAGGAGATATGGATTTAGCAGACAAGCAGGAAAAACAGAACAGGTAAAAAAATATAGTAATTTAAAATACTCAAATTATGGGAAGAATTGCATTGGTTTTGTTGAACTGTTGGTTACTGTAAGATCTTAAAGGAATACAGCAGAACAATCAGCCATAGCTTCTGTTATTACCATCTCTTAAAAATGGCTAACTTGAACTAAAACTTGCATGCCATGCAAGATACAATTGCTTGCTGTTTCCTTTTCTAAAACATTTCCTTCATCTATACTCAAAGATCTCATTTTGCAAATGTTTTTTGCATGGAAGAAAGGGAGTTTAGGTGTTTGGTTTATTTTTTTCTGTGAGATAATGACATACCCTGTCTGTTTCATGAGTATGTTTTAAGTAAGTGTTCCATGATGTGATCATTAAAAAGCTTTTCCTTTTCTTTTTAAAGAACCGTTCAGCTTGCTAAGAAATTTTGTAGGCATTTATTACATGATAAGTTATTTAACATGATAGAGAAACATGATACCATGCCAGAAGTAAATCATAATTCCTTTTGAAAAACAGCATCCTTGCCGTGCTTTTGATGATTATGGAGTCATAAAATGTCCTTGTTGGAGTATTTGGAGTTTTATTATTTCAGCGCAGATATCACTTTAGCTATAAGTTCTCATTACAGACAGATGTAATGAAGAAATGCCTTTAGCATGTCATGGACCTAGAAATACACTGAGTATATTAAGGTTGCCTTTTATTATCTCAATAGTCTACATACAAATTTAGCATTTGAATTTTATAAATGGATATGTTTCCTAATGTAGGCATACCTCTGTTTCCCTCAAAGTAACTGCCAGACTGCAGTCATATTGATAGAATTCATCTTCTTCCTTCAGAAATATTACTGACTTTGGAACATTGTATATTAGATGGTCATCATGTTTGTTGTGTGAATTGGGCCTCTAATGAGGCAGAAGTGGAAGATGAAATTGTTGGGTTAGTGGTGCAATAGAGTGACCTAGAAATTGAATCTGTTACCAGTTCTCATTCGTTTAGTGGTAAGAATTCTTCTGACTGAATTAGGCAATTTGACACTTTTTTTAATGTTGTAGGTAGGTTATATCAATATTAAGTTATAAAAAAATTATTTATGTAAAAAAATTCTAAATTGCATTCTCTTATATAGCAGACATTGTATTCTGGGGTAGGGAGTAGTCTTGTGAGGCTGGTAGTTCTCAGAAGGCTGTAGCATAAGGGATTCTTGCCCCAGATGTGTCCATGGCAAGCCAGAGACACTGTCCTGACACTTGGAATACTTGGAAATGAGGGTTACATTTCAGTTGGCATGGAGCATGAGGATGTTCCAGTAGCTTAAATGTATTTGTAAAAACAGAACAGCTCTCTTCCAATTTTCTTCTTTATGTCTTTTCTTAATACTTTAGAATACTGGAACTAGATATAATATATTCTTGATTTTTCTTTAAAAGGCTGAAGATAAAAAAGTTGTGCTGCCTGCAGGGCTAGCAGCAGGAGGAAAAGCTGAGCCTTGTGATGAAGACGACCTGCAGGCTGCTGAAGAGGTGTGCCCCATACACAGTAGGCATGGGTGTCACAGCTTGTGGGGAGAGCAGCAGTCATCCCTGCCCAGTCCTCCTCTGCAAGAAGGAGAATTCCCATCCTTAGCTGACGTGAGAGTTGCTTCCCACAGGAGAATAGGAAACTTGAAATTAATGCACAAAATTAAGTGTTTGTTGGAGTTTAATACCAAAAAGTCCAACTTTGTATCCGAGCATTTTTAAAAGGTTGGTTTTCGGTTGGCAGTGGGAGCTGAATACTGAGTGAACCTGTACTGTCAAAAGGAATTTTCCTTAGATTTGGTAACTTCAGCCACCTCTTTAACTTTTATAGACTTACTGTCTCATTATATGCACTAAAATACACGTTGAATAATATTAATTGTATGCGTGTGTCCCTGTCACTAGGCAGAAGTAAGTTAAATAATGAAGGATGAATTGTTTTGTGTAATTCCTCACATTTTGCCCTAGCTTCGCATTAAAACTCTGATGACGGGGATGGCTGCAATGGCAACAGAAGAGGTAAGCAGCATTTAAAACTGATACAGCTTTGTTTAAATCCTGGTTGTTTATGGCAAATATTCCTAATATGGGGTTAATGGTGAGTCTGGAGTCTTGGAATGACGGCATTTAAATTTTCCTGAGGAGAGTGTGAGAGAAGATGGTTGAATTAGGAGAACAGTAAGTCCTAAGGACTTAATAATTTGCCTTGAAATTATAGAGGCTATTATAAATAGGAGAGTTTTGGGGGAGAGACATCACAGTGCAGCTACCAAGGATGTAATATGATCTTACTTTATTCATCTTGTGAAGGTAGCCAGGGCAGTAATTATTTTACTGGGGAGAGTGGAGGAAAATTTTATGTGTTTCAAGGTGTTTTTCAAGGTACTGATAAATAGTTATAAACAACACCATTGTTCTAAGATACTGAAAATACTGTATAAGTATCTTTTTTTCTTAATGAGTTGTTGTTAATGATGTAATGGAACTTGCAGGCTGTTGTAATATTGAAAATTCTTACATTGCAATTTCTGGGTGAGAGGGCAGGGGGAAGAAATTCAGTTGTTAAACATTGTTTATGCTGAAGTCACAGAATAAAAGGTAGTAATTAGTCTAGTTTCAAAGTTGATTGGCATGCTTTCTATGGAAGTCCACTGTAGAATTTGGTTCTACTTGCAGATTGTTTTTGTACATGCTTCCAATTTGAAAGGTGCGTTCTTTCAGACATCTGCGTTGTGATAGTTTGGCTGAAAAAGTGGTCTAATAGTGAGGTTTATTACAGTGCATGCAGAATGCAGTATACAGAATACAATTAGAAGTAAGTTTTTGAAAATCTAATTCAAACCTGCTGAAAGGTTGTGAGAAATTTCCATCAGCAAACTTTTTGTGGGAGTGGAAAGTTTCTTGGTTGCTTTTTATGATAAGGTTTTGTACACTGCTATTAAAATGAGAGCTTCTCCAAAAGTAAAAAGCACAGGCAGTTACAGAACTGTTTTTCTTTGTTTGTTTGTTTGTTTTTTACACAATTGCAGGGCAAATTGACAGCAAGTACAGTTGGCCAGATTGTTGGACTCCAGTCAGATGAGATCAAGCAAGTAGTGTCAGAATATGCTGAAAAGGTAAGTGTGTTACTTGATTGTTTTACCAAGTCATGTTTGATAGCTTGTTAATTTAGGCCTTAAGCTTCCAACTTCATTACCATGATTCTCTTGAAACAACACTTTCATATATGCTGTGGATAGCAGCACAGTCAGGATTCAGGAAAGTATTTTAATGAGGTTTAAATATGCACAAGCTTTTGGTGTGATAGTACCTAAACTGCATTCATGTGTAGTTTGCGTTTAGGCACCTGCTTAAATGTTTTCATGAATGAAGAAAGGCCTGAGTTGACAGCTGTTCAAACCTGAGGCCTAAACTCTTAATGCTGTCTAAAATGTTCCATGCTAAGCACAGAAGTACAGTTCTGTGGGTGTGCTCAGAGGAAAATATAGGCCTCCTCCACTCAGATTTTCACATGCTGGGATCTTACTTGCACTGGGCTCAGTGCATGCCCTGGATCCTCTAGTTCTGAATCTAGTGTCATCAAACCCAAACCTTTGTTGCCTTTAGAAATCAAGGCAATGAAATGTGCTCCATTTATTGTGTTCAACTGTGACTGTTTGCACAGTAATGTGAAAAGAAAATCTGGTTCTTCAAGCAATTAATACATACAATACATCACTGCCAAATATGAGTTATAGGTCGCTCTTATTTGTCCAATAGTCTTCTCGTATTTCTTCCTTTGTGTTGACACATGAGGTATGGAGCTTTCCCATTTGGGAGATAAATCCTGTAACTCAACAGAGTCTATAGCAAATTCTTGGCCTTTTCTTTATAATAAAGAATTGCAAGAACAGAAGCCTAAGGGTCATATTTCAATGTTACATTTCTTCTGTTCTGAGAGAAGGCAGCAGAACCTTGACTATTATAGTAGAACAATGATTAATACTCTGGAAAGTAAGAACTGATTCAAGTCAAACCAAAATATATCGCTTTTCAAATCTGTTGGATGTGGCCAAAAAACCAAAAAGTTACTGTGTGCACCAGGAAAAGGGAATTAAAAATGTTATCAAACAGTTTATTGAAGCATCAGCCATGTTTGGATACAGTTTCAATAGTTTTAACCTCATGTAACTATACATAGCCTGAAGAACACAGCAGTGCTCCAGAGGCCCAGGAATGATAGCTGCCAAACAAAATTTTAGATCTGGTGTTGCCACGTGGCAGGAGCTTTCTTACAAGATGGTGTTTTTGCAGAAGATCAGTGCATACAGTTTCCTGCATTTGCCCCCCTGTCTGCTTCTGTGTTCACTTGCTGAGTAAGCTGGAAGATTCCAGTGGTGTTCCTCACTTTCTAAAAATCCTGACAGAAAATTATTAACGTGGCTTTTATCTGTCTGTTCATCACCAGCTTTCTAAGGCAAATTATTCAAAGTAGCTTTGATGTTACTGTCTTAGAAGGATTCTTCCCCTGAGAATTTACAAGTATAGTCATACATAACAAGTGGGTTTGCTAGGAGTAGAAAGGAGGAAAAGCTTGTTCCATGGTAAAAAGAGAGTATGACTGAAACTAAAGAAAAAAAGCTAGTCTTAAAACCTATCTATCCCCTATCAAAAAAGCCTGAGGGAGAATCCTCTTCAGTAGTTTCAAATGCTGTTTGCAAGATGCTTTTATCTGGAGAAGCTGACTGAAAATATTTTTGGACTTCTAAAATCCCATGTCAGAGATTACTATGCAGTTGAAGTAGCATCCAATAAGCACTTCAACCATTTAGTGTGATTAGGGGCTGTCATTCAAAGAAGATACTAAATTGGATATTTTTACTTTTCTCTTGTTTGGGGAAACACTCAAAGATTAAGTGACATACAGTGATTCCTATCCTTGGGAAAGTGTCAAGTTAAAATGATGACAAATTACATTGAAATGACTGCAAAAGATCTATATGAAATTTGACTGAAAACAGATTTGAACTGTTATGGGGCTGGAGACTGGGGTGGGAGCTATGTTTGTTTTTCCACAGTGGGCTTCAGAGTGGACCTCAAATTGAGGCATCTTTGATGGACATAGTCACAGATCTAAACATCTGAAGTCTATTTGCTAGTAGATGGCTGAACACAAAGAGATAAACTAAATTAATTATTGCTGCAAAGTTTGTATTTCTGTACAGAGACTTTTTAAAGAATGAAGTTCTGCAGAGTAATGATTGATTTTTCTTTCTTTAACTGTTGGAAACTTTATAGCACTAATATGTGTGAGAGAATCTCATTACAAAGAGTAACATTAATTGCATACGTTTGCTTCCTCCGTGACATTTAAAACTTATATGTAAGCAGTGGGAGGCAGCCTTTTAAAGTCTAGAATTAGCCATTTATTTTGGCTACCAGATTTTGAGCTGCCATAGATTAGTGATCCTCAGGCACTATTAATATGGTGGTTTAACTTAACAAATGCTGTCATGGAAAATGAGGCTACCAACTCTTCTTTAAACTACTTCAGTTAACTGAATCCTTGAGGGCAGTTGCAGGGAATGGAGAAGAATGCAGAAGTGAGTCCCCACCTTCAGTGCTGGGGATAATACATGTTAACAGGGAAGTTGCAGGATGTATCCACGTGTCCCTTTTTGTCCCATGTAATTGAAGTTCTTGTTTTGAGACGGAGTGGCAGATTGATAACCTTAAACAAAGACACTAGTGCTCAGATACAGCTTTCTTAAACTATGTTCAAAAGGCAACTGCTTTTTCAGCCTAGTCTTCCTAGACCCATTAACAATAGTGTCAAAGCAAAGTAGCTTCTGTAATTTGTGCTTTCTTCCTTCTCTGCTGAAAGATTATTTTTTTTTCTCTATAAATTGGAACCCTATTCTTCACTAACTTTAAAGCTGTAGTGTTGCTGCAGAGCCGATCCTCAGCTCACTGTGACTGCCTGAGGTTTAACCCTGGCTTTTTCACTGTAGACCAGAAAGATTTTTCTGCAGAAACTTTTGTTATAGTGCTGGTTATTTCCCATTATTAAAAAGCAAGCTTTTACAGTCTGCTTCTTGAGACATGACCACTTCTTTGTGCCAAAGCTACGTTGTACAGATTTAAAGTATTTTTGCAAGATCAGTCTTGGACCAGTTTAGCTCATGTTTCTTTCTCTTGCATTTCCGGTTTTCTTGATTTACATGTTATGCATATTCAGTTGGCTAATCATATAGTGAGAAGGTTGTAGGTCTTACAATGCATGATGTGATGAGGGAATGTGAGTTGGCGAAGTGAGATGAGAGGCAAGTAAATCTAAGTGTGTATTTGAACAGTTCAGTGTTACAGGTGTTGCTCAGAGGCATTTTCCTCTTTCTAACAAATGCAAAGTACATGAATTATTGGGTTAAGATGTCAGAATTGGTCTTTTCTTGCCTGATGTAAAAGTACAAAAAATCGTTAAACTGCTCTTCAATATGAGTAACATAGAAAATGGAGAAGAGCAAGACAGGTTTTGCTGCTTATTTTCATTTTAAATGAAGCTGTTAATGAATTTAACATTCATTAATGTTGACATCATGTTAACATTAATCTGCCTAGAATGCATCCCAGAAGCAAATATGAGTGAGGAATATTTCATACTTCTTGTAGCATTTTTGCTGATCATACATTGTAGTGGTTGTCAACATTTGGTAATTGTTCAGAAAGCACTTAATATTGAAGTCTTTGACAGACTCTGCAAATTAGCACCTGAGGTACCTGAAAATGAATTCTTTTTCTGATGAAATATTGGAAAATGGATTAACTGGGAAAAAGAAGCCTTGAGTGTATGCAGCAGATTACCAGAACAGATGGATACAAGTACTACAGTGAGGGCTTTCAAAAGGCACAAATACCATCTAGGCAAATAATCACTTAGACACCTAGCTCTCAGTGATTTTTTTTTTTTAATCTTTCGTCTACTGCACATATACAGTTTCTATTATACATGTTTTTCCTGGTAAAGAATGTTTCTGGCAGCTTTCCTTTCACAATTCAGGGGGAAAAGGAGACAGGACCCAGGTTGCTGTCTTCATTCTGAAGTTACGAGCTGCTTTCTCGGCAGTACATGCTGGATTGAGTAGTTTTCAAAGGCTGGTGTCCACAGTGTATACACACATGCTTAGAGTGGGAGATGTATCTACCACACTGAGTATGTCATTGTCATTCAGCATAAAGATGCATCCAAGTCAGTATTTCAGAATCTAGGTACACAACTGTTCAATGCTTTTGGAAGTTCTGGATCTACTTATTCAGGTATGGAGCATCTGTGATTCAACAAGTTGAATAAAATTACCACTGGCTGAGGTAATTTTTAGCATGTTTGTATTTATTCCATTTAAGAACCCTACCAGGTTTAACTACTACACTGATGCAAAAAAAAGTTTCCTTCTTCTAGTATACACTAGTGTTTTCCATCCATTCCAGAGCACTTGACTTTATTTTTAGCTTCCTTGTCCTGTCACCTTTGGGATGTAATTCACTTGTTCAGCTGCTTCCTTACCTTGACGCTAGATAAGTCAGTAAGTTGTTCTTTCTGTTGTATAGTGGGACACAGTTCTTGATGATAAGGAGTATCACACGTGTCTCCCCCTCTGGCATTGCCGGACCTACTGAAGAAGGAAAAAGTAATGGTGTGAAGTCCAACAGGCTGTTCTTGTTTAATTTAGCAATCTGAGCTGTCTGCTGAGGAGCGACCAGAAAGGCTTGGAGCTGCCCAACAACACAGAAGGAAGGTGGCATCTCTGAATAAGCAGATCTTGCAAAAAACCAAACTCCTGGAAGAGGTAAGTATTGTGTATATAATAAAGAAGAAAGCATTGATAAATGTGGTTGATCACACAATTTTTGCCATCCAGAAAAGATTTGCAAGCTCACTTCTATACCAGCAATTTGTCATGCTGGACGTTCATTTCAGCATCTCTGATTGTCTTGCTTGCACATTTGTTACTAAGACAATGTGGCTGTTTTTATATTAAAAAATTGTATAGCCCTCTCTGTGAGGAGGGGGCTAGCTCATCAAAATATGCTTGTCCTTTTTTGTTTTTTGCATACCTTTCTTGGAGAAAAACAGAGTATCTCCATTTAACATATTAGCTACAGTGTTGAATGGGATGTTTTCACAGTTTCAAGGAATAATTTAGGAAGTTACTCTAAAATATGGTACAAATGGCTTTTTATGACTTCCTGTCCTTTGTAAGAGCGAGCTTCTCTCACTGACAAAGTTGGGACTTTTCCTTGTTTTGTTTGTGGGCTGTTGTGAACCAAGCAGTGCCTGTGCAAATCTTCACATTTGTTTTAGAGAGGGAAGGCTCTTGAATTTGTGACTGATGTTTTTTTCACAAGTAAGAGCAGGAACCACCATTCCTGTGTTTCAACCTACTTATGCTATTGTCATTTAAACCCAGAAAAGTATAAGTGGAAAAACTATGCCATTAATGAAATGCTGCTTATAATTATGCATACTGCTGTAATCAGCACCGTGCCATTTTTAGCTTGCAGAATCTTATGAAAACACACTGCATCAAAATCAGTAATTGGAAGAGCTTGCCAAAAACCAAGTAGTACTTGAGGAAAAGCTATTGCTGATGACTTCTGTCATTGATTCATTGCTACACTGTTAAGTCCAGTGCTGCTCCAGCAGCCTTCACCTGTTTTTTGTTTTGCTCTGCTCTTATCTTAATGCCTTACATCTTAATTGATTATACCTATTAAATGTTGTGGGTACAGGGGCCCCAAAAGATGGGTGTCTGTATGGCATGTTTTATGAGGCAGTGATGCGTTCAAACTTATAAACAGCAGAGGTAAAAGGATGGTAGCTTTGAAAGCATTACCTACTATGGTGTAACTATGGGAGCACTAGATTTTAAACCTTTCTCCACAGCTTACAACACCTGACTTTTTAAATTTTAATTATTTATTTTTAAAATTAGACTAGAATAGTCTCTAACAGTGCAATAGTCTTTTATTTAAAGGATATTTATGCTTTCAATACCTAAATCTCTCTTCAGTGAAGGATATGATCTGAAGAATTTTTTGAAGTTTTTGACTAACGTTCAAGTAATACTAAGTTTTAAAAAAACCCTATAGAAATAGAACTTGGGCACAAAAAGTTGGAAGGACTAATTGCTTATCCTGTTCTTTGTTTCTTTCTTTTATTTTTTTTCCAGCTTTAACAAAAAGCTTCATGAAGAACTGATTCAGGTTCTTCTTAATTTACTTTGCACAAAAAAAGGGTTTTAAAATATAGGCTGACATTGGTTTAAGCAGTAAATATTAGAATGCATGTCCTTTGGAACATGCTGAACTAATTTAATTCTTAAACCAAGGCATTTCTGTTTGTTGCCCCCTGGCATGCTCCATCTATTAAAAATAACTTTCTTTCATAGTCAGTAACAGTACAATTATTTTTTTCCACTGTATGTTGAATGTAAGTCATGCCCGTCACAATTTCTCTCCATTCCAGAGTGAAATATTAGAAGGTATTATGATATATTGTAATTATGATATTATGACATACTGAAATTAAATAAACTTTTTTTTTTTACTTCAATTTGTATTCTTGTAGCACTTTGGTAATAGGAATTGTCCATACCCGTTTATGTCAAACATAAATTGGGTAACTTGACAAGGTGATGAAGTAGTAAAAAGATAATGGCAATATCAAGCATTTAAATGCAGGTTAAAGTGTCAGGCTTTCAAAATCATAATATGGGCTTGCAGACAGTTGAGCCCTGTGTGAATTCCCATGGTGGTTTGAGTTCTTTTCCTGAAGTACAAGCAAATTGCAGAGTGAGATCTTTGGAATTTCAGAAGTGGAGGGAAAAGAAGAGGGTGTTCAGTGTATCCTAAGTCGTTGCAGTATGTTTCTGTGACACTTCAACTCTTCCTTTAAATGGCAAAGGGGCATCTGAAGGGAGATACAGGTGTGCTGCATGTGTGCTGTAGGCTGCAGACAGGTACAGGCTCCCTCAGCATGCTCTGAGCAGCGAGCTGCACACCTCTCCTGGGTAAGAAGTTTGTTGCTATGCCTGGCAATGGTTTAGCACTGCTCTGTTATAGTGGGGGGGGGGTTGCTCGGGTTTAAGGATGTTCTAGTACTGTTCTATGGTTTTTGGATGGATTTTGTGTCCACCAGCTTGCATCCATGTGCAGATTTCCTGCAGGTAGTATAGGTGTGTCCTGGAGGCACGCTCAGTTTGACCTCTGTGTACGTGTCCAAACGCTGCACCACAGCCCTTGCCTTGTGAGAAGGGGCTGTGCTCTTGCAGGCAGTTAGCTCAAGCTGAATTTTTGGGAGGATAGCCTAAGTACAATTGTGTAATAAGAGTGGCATTGGGAAACTGCAACATCTAGCTCAAGTTTCAAAAACTCAAAATGTGTGCTAGCACAGTTCTCCAGCCATGCTGTTTCCTTGATCTTCCTTGCTTCGCTAAGCAGTAAGAAAGGCTGGTAAAGGAGCTTGGCAGTTGTGGGTGGCTTTTGCAGCTATTCTGTGTTATTCTCTTACAATCTGGAAAGCAGAAAGGATTTGCCAGTGTCTGTAAACAGTCTCAATGACTGAAATGTTCAAAAGAATATTTCCGTAGCAGATGGCTCATATATTTTAGAGAATTATAGCATAGTGGGGCTATGGAATTAATCATACAGAATATTCCTGTAACTAGATACATGTTGAGTGGATTAGATTTTCATGCCTGGTGCAAGTAATTTCCTTGACCTGTTTCCCTAGGATATGAATGACTGTATTTGCTTGATTTCCGTGCACTGCTGAGAAGAAAGCAGTTTGGGGTGGGGAGGAAGTATGGTTGTAAACCACACAGAATTACTGGAGTTCTTACTGCATTACAGATTTTTGCTTCTTTGCCAAGAAAACTTCATAATCCATTGGAAAACTTTAAATATTTTCTAAAGTCATTACCATGCTATTTGCCATTTTAACAGTGGAGGGCCCTTTAATTCTGTGTTGCTTATTTCCAGTACGTAACAGTCTCAGTGGTATTCTTTTATATGGGGGGGAAAAAGTACTGACAGCTATAAGCCAAATATAATCCTTTTATCACTTTAGTAAAAAATTTCCTGACTGGATTCTTTTTGCCACTTGACAAAGACAGCTTTTGAGATAAGTAACAGTCAAGACCTCCTTTTTAAAACATGCTTGTGAAGTTCTGGCTTCAATACTGCAGTAAGTTTAAGCAAGAGTTCTCATAACAAATAGTTCTTTAGTCTTTATGTCAATTTTCATAAGATGTGGACTTCAGGCTTAATTTTTTTTTTTTCCAGCTAATTAGAATTCAGTCTACTGGTGAATTACTGGATAAAAATATGAAAAACAGTTCAAAAGCTTTCTTTCTATAAATTCAGCTGTGAAAAGGGTTCAGTAGAGTGTTGAGTCACAGCTCCATGTTGTGAATAGCAAACTAAATCAGCATGAAAAGAAGTGGAACAGAAACCCAAACATGCATTTATTTATTTGTAACCTGTGTCCCATTTTTGTTGTTACTATTTGTAAACTATCTTTAAACAAAAGGACTTTAAAGGATGTTCTTCTACAATTGGCTTTTCTGAATTTTTGACAAGTGAAATGTCCAGTGGTGGTTTGTTAACTGTCTTCTTATTCAACTTTCCATAGTTACACAAAAGAAAATCATAAACCAGCTTGTGTGTTTGGTATAGGCATGGCTGTGGCATGGTGCTGTGGTGTGACGGAGAATAAGCGGGAGACAGACACCATTCTATAATGATCGGAAAGCCTCGTTTATTGAAAATCAGAAGGCATCTTTTATATTGTTCTTAATTAGCTCATACATATTGCAAAAGTGAAGCTCATCATTGGTTACAGATCACATGTCAAACCCTCTTATGTTTATCTTTTGTGTTTAGTCTTGCGGTTAGCAGTTCTTTATCTTAGTGTTCCAGTTCCTTTTACTCATCCCATTATCCTACAACAGTTGCACCCCGGGTTATCTTGACTTGGAGTTTGTTTTACTAAACTTCAATCAGCTGCCCTTTATCATGTCCCTTTGTTGCTAGCCACTCTGTGGCTAAGCTCTCCACAGTGGTGCTTTTATGCAAGTCTTGAATCACCCTGACTTGCTGGGGAAGTACCAAATGGGGCTCTCTTCTTAGCCTAGCATGGAACTAGGTCAGTGTAACCAGGCCAAATGACTTAGACCAGTTTAGCAGAGACACACAGACGCACAGAATAGTAATTCTGTTGGCATTTTGTAAAAGCTGCTTTTTATTCTAGGACCTAAACATATCCAGAAGGTCAGGTGGAAAATGTTTGCTGTTGTCAATTTAATACTCGGAATTCTTGCAGTCAGATGCTCTCAGAATTGATAATAAGACAGTGTTTGTGATGGTTGGCCTATTCTTTAATGGACAACCTTTATTAACAGCTCAAATATTGCCATTCTCCATTACAGATGTAATTAGCATGAATATTGAATCAAACTCTTTTCTTTCTCTTTCATAATAGTTGCAAGCTAAATGTACTGATCTGCAGACAAAATGTGCAGAAGCAAAAAAGACATTAACTGAGGTAATGTGTCTTTGTTTTCCTCTGTACTGATTCCAGCTGAATCCTTTTTGAGAAGTTCTGTGTAGGGGGATGTATTAACTGAGGAAGGTGCTTGACAGCTTAACTCATTGATCCCATGGTGTGGGGAAGCTAAGTACCAGGGGTCATTTCATGTGGAACTGTATTTCAATTTCTTATTAATTGCAACCCTTAGGTTAAGAGTTACAGTGAAAAGCTGGACAAGGAATTGGCAGCCTTAGAAACAATAGAATCTCAAGCAGATTCTAGGTAAGTTTCTTCCTTTGAGACCTTTGAATTTTTTTTTTTTTTAAATGATGGTTTTAAAAAGACTCGTTCCATGTTTCTTGCTTTGCCAACATAAACAAATAACTGAAATTTAAAAATTAAATAGTTCTCCAACTTGCTTTCCAAAGACAGGAAAATATTACCATAGTACTCAGTCTGAATGAAAAGTATCAATCTGTAGTTGAAAATAATTGTTTAAAGCAGAAGAACCCTAGACACATTGGCAAGTAGATGAAGCCCCCTTGATTTATTTTCTTCCTGTTTCAAGCCTTCGTGTCGCATAAATTAAACACAAGTCTCTTTCAAAACTTCCACAAGTCAGAGGCCAGAACATAGCAAAACCAGCAAAATACTCACTGTAATGCAACATTTTTATTTTGACCTTGCTATATCAGTGGTGATATTTGGGTTTTTAATTTACACAGATTTAATTGGAAATGTATTTAGAACTACACTTGTTCTAATATGTTTTAGTTCTCCATCTGTTTAAGTTAGAAACTAAAAATCTAATGTGGATTTCTGGGTTTTCAAATTTAGCATGTTACAGAGTCTGCGAGCACTGGTGGCCATGAATGAAAATCTAAAAAGCCAGGAGCAAGAGTTCAAAGCACATTGTAGGGTAAGTTTTAGTTTTCATGAAAGGATTAATTTAAAACTTGGTTAATACACATTATACTTCTTCCTGATTCGCTGCTGTGCTGTGTCCCTGTCTGTCATCTGCACCCCTCGCCCCCATGTACTGATATTTCCAGGCTTATATTGCCACCAGCTTGATTTGCAGCACAGTTATGGACAGTTGTCTAGTTCTGCAGTGTGTCATATCTGCCAAGAAGGTTGGAACTGGGTTAACCAGAAGGACTGGTCCTTCTGCTCCAAGGCAGGGAGGCCTGAGGAGGGTGACCAAGGCACCTGAATTAGTGTCCCCTTCAGTGTTCTGTTGTGCCTGGGACTCTTTACTGCAGGGCCATTCCTAGACACCTAATTCCAGACCAGCCTTGTACTGGTGACAGCTGTGGCCCTTCTTATGCCTATTATCATTCTACTGAGAGCAGCTTGGGGAGAGTTGACAGGGAGCACTAAAGAGCAAGTTTGAGACTGAGCTCAGTACTAGATGCCCACCGGTGCTATTCACAGCCTGAAATGGTTTGTCTCTTCTTGGACAATGCAGCCAACAGTGACCTGAGTAGAGGTGCAGTGCCAAAGAGAAGGGCTTCATGAAGGCCCCTAGCTTTGGAGCAAGCCCCCAGAAGAGACAAGACAGATGAAGTTATTGTTCTCAGAGCATGTTTCAGTTTTACTGCTTAATTGCTATGTTCTGCTGTGCTCTTTACTGCTGTGTTTATGGACTCTGTAGAAATCTTTGGACAGAGTTGCTTTCATCTTCTTCTACTTAAACAGCAGCGGATGGGATTTAATAGAATTAAAAGAGGTAGAAGGAAATAGTGCCCTGAGGAATTGAATGAGTACAGGAACCTCATTTTCCTGTACACACTCTTTTGGGAAGCTCAGAAGGATTGTAACAGAAACTACCTTGCAAGTAATTTTAGGTTCATTCCTTTTTTACAAATGCTGGATGTTGCAGTCCCATGTTATGCTGATGCTATTGTAACAGTCCTTTGCTTTCTCACTTTCAGCTTCCATGTCACTCATTGGCTGTCTTAGCTGGATCTAGTATGTTTGTAATAAATAAATCTGTTCTTTTGTTTGATAAAAGCAGATGGTTTTTATGTAATGAGTAATAATGAATGCTTACCCTTAAGCAGGGGATGCAGTTTAATCTTATGAATTTAGAGTGTGGTCAGCTCCACAATTTTGTTAGAGGTATATGTTGTCAAGCTTCCTGCTCTCCTCTGTTAAGAGCACAGCTCTCAGTTAAAACCAAAATAATTTTTTGTTGTTGTTTTAAAGGAAGAAATGGAGAGGCTTCAACAAAATATTGAGAATTTGAAAGCTGAGGCAGTGGAAAATGGGGAAGAACAGGTAATAGCAAATGTCTAAACATCTGAAAGTTTTTATTTTTAGTTTGTGTTTTAAGATGTTGGTTTAGGTCCTTCTGGCTTTTGGGACATTCTCATAAGCATTAAAGTATCTGTTGCTATCTCTGAAAAATTCTCTTCTCCCCCACTGGTAAAACCATAGTTCAGACTAATAATAGAAATAGAGTAGACTGAAAATAGCTGAAGTATTTTCCATTATTCTTGCAGAATCCTTGGGGCTAACTCCTGGATGCTTTTGTGCCTTTTACTTCTTTCTTTGTAGTACTAGAGAAGACTCTGGATGTTAAGAGCAGTGCATACCTCTGACAAAGACAGGTCTTCCTGAGAAAGCATGTTTGTTTGGGCTGGGTTTTTTTCCCTTAAAAAGTGGATTTATTTGAAGGATGAAAGCACAAGTTTTCAGTGGCTCAGTACATTGCCTGCCGCAAGCAGCTGTCAGAAGTTGGGCTTTAACACAAGTGCATCCAGACTGATGGCAATGAATAATGAATGAACAGGAAAGGAAAAGCTTCAATGGCTTAGATTCTCAGTGGGTAAACATTTGATACATTTATGCCTCTGAAATGAGGTAGATTACAGGTTCTGTCATGCTGCTGTCCTTCTGAACACAGCATGAAAAAATTAAAATGTAAACCTAAATATTAAAATTTTAAACAAGAAAAAAATATCTTGAAGTCCACAATGAAGAGAATGAAGAGAATACCTATCTAAGGGTTTATGTTCTGTACTGGGTCATGTTTATCCTTAACCCCACCACTGAATCCAGGTATAAACAGTAAGTCAAGGAGTACGGGCAATCTCCCAATACATGGCTTCTTTTAAAGTGTGACTGTTGTAAAGCAGTGGAAAAACTATTGACAAACCTGAAAAACTAAATTAGCAAAGGCTTAAAAGCTGGAAAAGTGCACTTATTTACATTCAAAAATGTCAGATTTTAATGCAGGTTATGAATCATTGTTAATAATAGAAAATGGTGGGGTTAGTGTGGGAGCTGTTAAATGGAAGATATACAAATACAGAAAACAAACCCAGTCTGCCCATTTTTGCACTGCAGCTCTCATACGTTCCTGTAATACACAACTGTTTTGGCTTCTCAAATTCTAGGAGGCGAATAAGATTATAGAACAGCAGTACAAAAGTGAGAAAGAGAAACTTCAAAAGATCCGTCTGTTATTGGTGAGTAACTCCTTCTACATTTACTTGTACAAAATTACTGACATTTTTCTTATCTTGTAACTTCTAATACTTCTTTTTGTTGTTCTAATTTTAAAAAGCCTTTCTGTCACAAATCAATTACAAAAAAAAAGAAAATTGAGCCTCAGCCAATGCTGCTTTTTTTTTAAAAATTAATTATTTGATAACAAAATACTGCTGGGGGGGCTTCATCCATTTTAAGAAGAGAACAAGAAGAGGCTTTGTTTTCTCCCCTCCTAACTTTCTATTCAGGCACGAAGAAACAGAGAAATAGCCATTTTACAACGCAAGATTGATGAAGTACCCAGCCGAGCTGAGCTAACACAGTATCAGAAGAGATTTATTGAACTTTACAGTCAGGGTATGTATATTGAGCAGGAACAACCTGCTGAAGGCTAAAGCCCTGAAAGGAGGGCAGTGGCATTTTTAAGCATTTGGCATGTAACAACAGCACTTGCTAATTTTGTGGTGTTTTAAGGGTCTTTTTAGTACTCATGTTATACACCCTATTTTCAAGGTTTTATAAGCTGGCTATAAGAATTTTCCTGAGGGTAGGACTGGATGCACAAGATCTCTAAAGTAATTTTTGTCTGCAACAGGTTTAGTCATTTAGGTTGATGAACAGTGTGTTTGGAAAGTCCTTAACTCGCCATTTACAAATGAGGTTGCTGTAAATTTGAGTCATGTTTAATTAATTGCTCTTAACATTAGCTTTCATTGTTTTAATTGATGTGAGATACCTGAGGCTGAACCAAACTGTCAAGGACTAAAAAGTAAAGGCAATTTCTTGAAGAGATTGTTTTCTTTTATTTTTGACTTATAAATATCCTGCAGTATCTTGGTAGGATCATAGTAGAAATTGACTTCAATTATTTTTTTTTTTTTTATTATAAGAAGTTATAAAATGGGGAGATGAGCTCTGACTTTTTGGATAGGTATGTGTTTGCATGTTCCCTGTTATCCATGCACAGCAAACTGATGACAATTTTAAAGTTGTTCCATTAAGCTGATAACAGACCAGTATGCTTACTGGTATATATTTAATGTAGCTTGTGTATTAGCATAAGCTAAACAAGTTTCTACCATAAAGAGCTAGCTAATGTTGTAAAGATATTCTGCATTTATTAAGTGTGTGTGGGAACCAGGATCTTGAAGGTCAAGTAGTTCTAAAATTACCTAACTTAGATTCAAATTCCTAGCCCTGATGAGGCATCTCTAATGACACAGTCATGTGATGTCTTCCTTGAGTGTTTTCTAACTCAATGCACAGAATGGATGTACTTCTTGAGTGAGTACAAGTCCAGTACTTCCTTCCTCATGGGTTGCTTGTTATGTGCCACACAGTTTATTTAATCAAATTCAGCTATAAAGACAACTTTGTTGTCTTATATTAAATTTTCTGCAGATTTTCTCTGTTGTGTCTAAGTGAATTCAGAGCCTGCACAGAAGATGGGGGCTTAATTTATATATGAAGTACAGAAGGATTAAGGTCAAAGAGACTTGTGAAGCTTTGGAGGTAGATTTAAGATGCTTTGGATTTTATGGAGCTTTGTTTTCTGTAGTACAAAATATGCCTAATAACTCAGGATAACACACTGCTCAGTCATGCCTGGGAAATTGAGTTACACAGACTCAGCTTTTGGAAAAATGAGCTGAAAATCTCTAGCAAGTCTTCCTGTGTACTGTGGTATTTGTAGAGGCTTTTCATTTAGCAAGATACAGGTAGTCCTCGGGGATGCCAAAACCTAGCTTTCTGATCTTTCATCCAAGGGGTGTTGGACAAAATAATCTTCAGTGCTGCCTTCCAACCTCAGTGATTCTATGGTTCTGTTCTAGAGTGCTTTTAAGTTCCTATATTCCAGGCTTTATTTTTGCTCTACCTGAACCTCTTCCATTGGAAACATTAAGCTGTAGTTTCAAGAGAATCAGTGAGCTGATTGGCTCCTCCTTCCTTTTCTTTCTCTGTTGTACCTTACACAGGCTCTGGTGGGTGCCTGTAAGGCTCCATAAACTGGTACAATTTCCTAACCCAGTAGAAATCCTGAAAATTTTTCTTCTGAGTTGGTATGTGGACTCCACTCATAAAAGATCTGCAAGTACCAGGGCTGCTGCAAGGAAGAGAAGAGCTGCATGAAGGGAATGTTTTGGGGGAGGCCTCCTGTTTGGCAGCAGTCCTGCAAAAATGAAACTCATGAAACTCACACCTGAAGCAGTCCTGTTTATGATCTATGTGTTTGTGCAGCTTTCCAAAAAGCAGCCTGATTGCTGCATCTGGGAGATCATTGTGGAACATGCTGAACAGCCCTCACTAATTTGTCAGCCTGTCCCAGGCTTTCCTGCACTCCTGTGTGCTTTCAGGCTCCCAGTACTCAGCATGCAGATCCTGGGCTGCATCAAGAGAAGTGTGGCCAGCAGGTTGAGGGAGGGGATTCTCCCCCTCTACTCTGCTCTGGTGAGACCCCACCTGGAGTACTGCATCCAGTTCTGGAGCCCCCATTACAAGAGGGACGTGGACCTGCTGGAGTGTGTCCAGAGAAGGGCCACGAGAATGATCCAAGGGCTGGAGCAGCTCTCCTATGAGGACAGACTGAGAGAGTTGGGGCTGTTCAGTCTGGAGAGGAGAAGGCTCCGAGGTGACCTTATTGTGGCCTTCCAGTATCTTAGGGGGGCCTACAAGAGAGCTGGGGAGGGACTTTTTAGGATATCAAGTAACAACAGGGCTAGGGGGAATGGGGCAAAGCTGGAAGTGGGTAGATTCAGGCTGGAGGTGAGGAAGAAGTTCTTCACCATGAGAATGGTGGTGAGACCCTGGAATGGGTTGCCCAGGGAGGTGGTTGAGGCCTCATCCCTGGGGGTCTTGAAGGCCAGGCTGGATGAGGCTCCGGGCAGCCTGATCTAGTGGGAGGTGTCCCTGCTCATGGCAGAAGGGTTGGAACTGGGGGATCCTTGTGGTCCCTACTAACCCTGACAGATTCTGATCTGTTTTAGCAGAGGACTTTAGAGCCCTAATGGCTCAATGGTTGGATTTGATGATCTTGGAGGTCCCTTCCAACCTAAAGTATTCTATGATTCTTGTGTCTCAAGGCTACAGCACGTGCAGAGTATGTCACCACCATACTGTGGCAGTGAGAGAGCTTTTCACTTCTGAGCATCTTGCTACTGCAGAAGTAGCCACTGCTGGACTGCTGTCACCAAAACACTCAACTTTGAGCTGCGAGTTGCTGTTGGGCTTCAGCTGCAGAACAGAACTGTACAAATCAAAAGCCATAATGTCTTTAAAAATCTGGCTGTTCAGTGATGTTGTGATGTGGGAGGGAGGTCATGCTGTCTATAAATGGTTTCATTCAAAAGCTCAGTCAAATATGTCAGTTCAGGAAAGGTTTTCTTTAACTAAGATAGCAACTTGTTAGTCTTTAGAGTTTAATGACCATGATTTCACTCAGGTTTATCTTTTTTTAACCCATACATTTTTTCCAGGTTCAGGATTCTAGACAGTACTTAATATATTAACTATAATAATTTTTGCCAGTTGCCCTTCTGTGTTGAACTCTTTCCTTGGCAATCGCAAATCTTAAGTTTCCTTAGGCACTGAAGAACTAAAGAATAGATGAACACTTGGCAGATTTGAGTACCAGTCATCACCTTGTGGGCCCATGGGGATTTTGCATCTGAGCCTTGCCTTCCCCACTGACCTATGACCAACATCTGCTCTAATCACCTAAACCAGAAAGTATTATTTAATTCTATCAGAATGAATAAGCTGTAAGGAGATAAAAAAAGTCTTAAAACAGTAAAAGCTTTCTTGGGCGTCTTGCACACATGTAGCTTCAAATATACAGTATAATGCACTTTTTTCCACACAGTACTATCAGATTATATTTGTTCCCTATCTGTCCCTGCTGCTCCTGTGCCTCTCCACCACCATGGGCAGAGCTCTGAGGGCAGCTGTTAGCAGCACAGCAGCTGTGAGCTGGTGTAAGGGTAAAGCATGGGGAGGAAGCACAGCTGATAGTGCCAACATGGGTTTGCATAAGGGACTGTCAGCAGTTGAGGCTTAATTTAAACACCGAGCTGTGGTGTTCTCGTAAAATCTGATAGCTGCAAACCCTGCTGGAGATTTACATGCAGAGGGAATATTCTTCCAGAGTGTATTAAAGAGTGTGTTCTATTATTGATAGTGGAAAATATATTATATAAAGCCTATGAAGTTTTTTAACACATTCCATTTCACCTCATGCTCTTTTATTATTCTACCCTTTTCTTGTTTGCAGTCTCAGCAACTCACAAAGAAACGAAGCAGTTCTTTACTCTTTATAATACACTGGATGATAAGAAAGTATATTTGGAAAAGGAGGTAAGAAAATGTTATTACTGTTTCCTAAGTATTCAGTCTGTGGAGAAGGTGATAAAGAGTTTTTCCTTGGCTTTCACCATGTTCAGTCATGTCAGAGCAAAGTTCACAGTCTTTCTAAGTAAGAAGGAAACTACTGATTCATAGGAATATTCCTAATGTTGAGAGGGAAGTGGTGTGTGTTGTACAAGAAGTGCTATTAGTACAGCATGTGTAGACTACTCACTGTGTTCACAAAACATAAAACAGAATCATAGAGTAACTCAAGTTGGAAGGGATCCATAAGGATCATGGAGAACAACTCCCTGCTCCTCACAGGACTACCTAACACTAAACCCTGTGACTAAGATCTATTGTCCAGGTGCTCCTTGAACTCTGACAGGCTCGGTGCTGTGACTGCTTCTTTGGGAGCCTGTCCAGTGATCGACCACCCTCTCAGTGAAGAACCTTTTCCTAATGTCCAACCTGAATGTCCCAGACATACTGCATGAAAAGAGGAGGCTGTGAATACAGTCAAGAGGTTTATTTTATTGTTTCACCATTTTTGCTGGTAGCTTTGTTCCAGTTTTGTAATCAAGAACATTATCCATTGGTCAACGTGAGTAATATCTGATTAGCACATATCTCTGTCTTGCTATCACAGGACCAAGTCACCCTCTTTTTCTGTTTTTGGTCAACTATAAACCAATGCTCTGCCTGTGGCAGAGCTGTGAGGAGAGGTAGTTGGGGCAGCAGAGGGAACTTGTGGCAATCAGTCCTTCAGGAGAGAATAACATCAGCATGTATAAAAGCGTGTTAACTGTGGGGAGAAAACCAACCTCATCTCTTCCTGATTCTCCTACTTTTTTCTAAACTGACTATAGTTTACTTGTTTTCATGTCAGTAACCTTAAAAATGCTCCGAGTCTGATGGAAAGCTCACTGATGTTCTGCTTCTGTGCAGAACTCACTCAGAGATATGCTCAGAATAACTTTTTCCTTTGGCTAACATGTAACATGGGCTTCTTATGGATTTTCTGGAGGCCAGGATGATGGAAAAAAAAAGCCAAAACATACAACCCAGAATACTGTTTTCATGCTACCATTCTAAACTTTTAACTTTCCCCAGTTTACCCAGACAGAAGTATTTTAAGGCATGATTGCAGTATCCATGTAGGTCTGGCACTTTTCTTTTGCAGAGAAGTATTATACTGTTCTGTGAAAGTTTTCTGAATCCAAGCTGCATCACGAATTTAAATGTAAATTTTATGACTAGGTTATTTAACAACACACGTAAAAACATCTCAAATTCTGTGCTGAATTAAGCCTTGTGGCTTTTTTATTGATCTGTGTGTATATGTGTGTGTGTTGTGTTGTTTTGTTTTTTGTTAGGTCAGTCATTAGTACAAATCAGGATCTTACCAAATCTGTGGTGATGATTGTCACGTGCTCTAGAAATACCTAATTTCAGGTTTCAGTTTAGCAGGAGACAACGTTGTGTCTAAAAATTATTCTACTTCATGGTTCCTAAGATCTCAAATAAATTATCTTTTGAATTTGTGAATTACCTCATAGTCTCCTGAAATTACCATCAAGAATTTGCCTTGGAAGTTTTTCAAATATCGACTTCTTACAAACAACCAATGACAATACCATGTGGTATCAGTTGTCATGCTGCATATTCAGGAACCCCAGCTGTAAAACTTATGTCCCTGGGCAAGAGTGGGTGCTTTAATAGCTGCCAATGGTCCACCTAAGGCTGCAAGAACATTATCACATGGTTTGTTTTTCTCTGGTCTTTCACTGTTTTTATTTTCTTATTCCAAATGGTGACATGTATTCATAATATATACTACAATATGTTGCAGATAACAATATACCAGATTTAAATTACTACATTAAGTAGCAGCTATAGAAATCATATTGCTTTAAATTTTTCCTTAAATTACAGTTTCATACAGATTATTATTTTTTTGAGGGCAAGCCTGCAAATTTGAAGAACATACAGAGATTGCTTTTGAAACGGGCACATGAGAAACAGCTGACAGAATACAGAGCAGATATATTTCATTGCTGTATAAATTGGGAGCACTTTTGTCAAATAATTCAATGCCTTTTAGGGGGGTTTTGATTGTGGTTTATTTTTTTTTTTTTCTTGCCATTTCCAAGCTTGACTTAACATGGATATATTTTCAGAAGACACATAAATTGATCAAGAGTTTCCTTTAGCTTGATGTCAATCACAAGAGAGAGAGGTCTGAATGTATTCTGATCTAGTCTTCACTTTGTTACATGTATAATATAGATATAGATATATAATACAGAGTTTTCCTTGTGTTGCTTTTAATATTGGAACCAAGGTTTCAGCAAGTAAATATTGTCCTACTAATGTCAAAAAGATGCCTTTGGCATCTGTGCCTCACAAAGATGTTTGGAACATGCTTGCACTTTTTCATGGCCTTTTTTTTTCCCTCCTAAACCCTACTCTTCCATTAAATACGCTCAGCATAATTGTTTTAAAGTAAAAATAGCAGGATTTGTTATACAATGGAATTTTGACTATAAAGGCTATTAGTTCTGACATGAAAGGTCTCTGTGAATATGGTTCATATTTTAATCTTTTGTGAAAGGCTTATTTATAAAATGGTTTTAAACTGATTTTTTCATACTGTTTTTGACATTTGGGGTTTATACAGGTTTTATTGTTTAATGTAACACATCAGCACTCTTAGAATGCAAGAGTTGTGCAGTATTACTTTTCATGGCTTGACTGTTTTATGGTATAAATTGTAATTACATTCTTAAACTCATGTTTAGTGGAAGTACCTTGAGGCAGGGATGTGGACTTGGCAAATATTGATGAGTCGTGCAATAATTTTTTTTCTTCTCAGTAACAGGAGGTTTTAAGCATCTCAGCAGCTTTGGAGTCTGTTCAGATGTTTAATTTTTCAAATGAAGGGCAGGACCAACTGCAGAGTCTGCCATGCGTGTGCTTATCCCTGTCTCATTCAGATGGAAGATTTTAGATTTGGGAGAGATCAGGGCAAGTGGGGCAAGTGATTCTGTTTGCAGTGCTCAGGTTCCTTTGGTACAGGGCACTTTGAAATACTCATTCAAAAGGAGAACGTTTAACTACAGGAGACTTGCAAGAAGCATTCAAAGCCAAGAGAGAGAATCACATTAATTGCTAACTGGTGAATTTTAGTGCTCTCAGCGGTATGTAGAAAGCAAGGAAAAAAAATCAAAGGTGGTTATACAGAAAAGTTTCACTGTATAGTTTAATTAGCTGGAGGAGTTTATACTGAGAGCAACAAAATATTTCTGTGATACTGTTACAAATTTCTGTTTCTGTGTTGATTCAGTGCAATGTTGGTATCTTGTAAGAAAAGCCATGAATTTGAAATGTCATTCTGTACTTCTTAGAAGTTTATCTTTTAACAGCCTGTAAAATACATATAAGCAAAGCAAGTAATGATGCATGATTGTTTGGCAACCTGTAAAACTCATCTGCACAATGAAAGCAGTGCAAAAATTCACCTGCTGTTCCTGCACTGCTTGGGGAGTCTTTACAGTATTGTGTGGAGATACTGGTTCCAGTTTCAGAAGCAAATATGGGTTTTTTTCTTCCTCTGTTTGGTTTTCTTCTTCTTCCATCGCCCCCCCCCCCCCCCCCCTTTTTTTATTTTTTTTT